GTGACGTCCTTGTTCTACAATACTTTAAAGAGTTCTTGTGCAGTCGATGTGCCCAATGTCATATGTAGCTGGATGCAAGCGAACTGAAATCCTTGACAACTTGTATCATTTCTCTGTTTATGACGATGATGTTCATTTTCCCATTTGTGAGTGTTTTCTGGTTTCCTTGACACTGAGTTGAAATCCATACTGATGGCTGAGGACTTTGATTTCCTCAAAAACGTTAAAGTCATCGAGTGGATTTCCGACTCATAGCAACCCTCTAGGGCAGAGTAGATGAGTCCCTGTGGGTTCCACAGACGGTGACCCTTCATGGGAGGAGAACTCTTCATCTTTCTTTCAGGGATCAACTGGTGATGTCCACCCTGGAGGTTAGCAGCCCAGCAAGTGACTGCTCTGCCACCAGAGTGCCTACTTGATTTGCTGTAGGTAAACAAAAACACTAGTCCTTTGGAATGAAGGACTCATTTATCATATTTTACAGTAGTCTCTCCATTTCTTCTTAAAAGTGTCGTTGATATTCAGAATCTTTTAAACCATTATGGGTCAAGGTTTCATTTCTTTAGAATGAGGGTGGTGGCCTTTCATTTCATTTTTATTCTTGGTTAGTTTTGCTCTAATAGATTTCAATGAGGTTCTAACAAGCATCACTTTTTCATTTCATTAAATATTCAAAGATGAAGCTCAGAAAGTTTGTCTACTTATGGCCCAAGTCCCTGTAATAAGTTCTAGGCCACTGTCGGAATCTGGATTTGGGGTATGCTTTTGTTTGGCCTCCTGTACTGAAGTCACATTTTAAAATTCAGAAAAGCATTAAGATACTACATAAATATGGTCAGCACTTTGGTGTGATCTCAGAGCTTCATGCCTAATGGAGAATTTGGCGCAGGAAGCATAGTACTGTTTAATGCTCATGTTTGTGTTTATTATAGCTTTTCATGAGTTGGTGCAATAAAAAGATAGACTACAGTAATATATTTGAGGTGGAAGTTAGTATTCCAGAATATTCTTCATGCTGAATATTTAGCAAGATTTAATTTACTATCTCTTACTGAAATTAGTATGAATAAACTATCATATATATTTATGGTAGTGGAGACAGTTTATAAGATTTTCAAAAATATACGCTATTGGAACTAGTATAAGGAAGCCTGGTGACTGAATGATTAAACACTGAGCTGCAGCCCTAAAGGTGGGATGTTCAAACCCACCAGCAGCTCCTCAGGAGAAAAAAACCTGACACCCTGCTTCTATAACAATCACTGCTTATGAAATCCCGTGTCGGGCTTGGTAGATGCTATCTAGTCAGTTCTAACTCATGGAGACCCTGTGTGCCTTCTTTACAAGCACTGCTGTGTTTGAGGGTCTTTTTTTCACCGACCTACCTTTTTGCCACGCTTGATGTCCATCTTCAGGGCCTGATCCCTTCTGATGACTTGTCCAAAGTACTTGAGTTGAAGTCTCACTATCTTAGCTTACAAGGAGCAGTCTGCCTTGCCTGCTTCCAAGCCAGATGTGTTTGTCTTTAGGAGCCCATGGTATGTTCAATATGCTTCACCAACACCATAATACAAATTAATAAGTTCTTCTCTGATATTCCATATTCGCTTCCAGTTTTCACTAAGACCATGTAGGGCAGTTCTGTTCTGTCATTACATTCTGTGCTGTCACATTTGACTTGACCGCACACATCAGGAACAAGGTTAGATTCCAGAAAGACAAACAGATTAAGACCGACAATAGTAATCCAATTATTCACTCTGAGTGTCCCTGTAATTTCATAGCATTCTGACCTCTGGAGTTGTATCTTTTTAAGTTAAATTGGCTTGGCAGTGTCAAGGACAAAACTGACGGTTACCTCTTTAAGTAGCTCTGGGATATGTGGGTGTGTGGTTACACTTGGCTATATTCTCCCCTTATCTCTGTGCCCTCTCCCGGTAGTCTATTTTCTGCATAGGTTTTTACAGCAGCTAGCTTGAGAATAAGTAGGAATTCAGAGAGAATTAGCTAACACACGAGAAGCTTATGAGCATTTGTAATAATAGGTTGCCTTCAAAGTAGATGGCAAAGCTTAGAGAGGTTTAAAGGCATATATCCGTGTTTGAATCTGGATCTTCTTAAGTTTAATACGTCCTTAGCATGCTCAAATTTAACCAAGGATTTCCCTTCTTGGCAGGCAGTTTGGGAGGTCATGACCTGAAGTCATTCATTACTTTGTTGAGGAATGTATGTGAACCATAACTCTACTGACGCTGTTCCCATGAGCCCAACCTATGACCAGGGATCCATACCTTAACACTCTATATTTCTTATGTTAAAATACTGTCAGCCATGTACGGTAGCCAAACCATGTATTCATTTGACAGAAGGAATTGTGTGAAGCAAATTCTATATGGTTTGGGTGTGTTAGTCTGGGTGGACTAGAGAACAAATGCATAGACTCCTGTGTATAAGAAAGAGCTTTGTATACAAGAGCAATTGAATATTGAGAAAAAATTCCAGCCCAGTCCTGATCAAGCCTCTAAGTCCAATATTAGCCCCTATGTCCAATATCAATCTATAAATTCCACTTCAGACACATGCAACACATGCAATGACACCAGATGCAGGGAGGTCGCAGGCCAGTCGGTGGAAACTCTTGTGGATCCATTGAAATGAGAAGCATCTCAGCACTGGCAGGGATCTCCATGTGGCTCCTTCAGCTTCAGGGCTCTAGTCTCACAGGGAGTGTCTGTCTGGCCTCCAGGGAGCTAGTTATCTCCATTGCACCCCCAAATGAGGTCATCAAGCTGCAACTTGATTGACAGGCCAGACTCTACCCCTTCCTCAAGTTGACGGATTATGTAACTGCCACATTGGGTAAATCACAAGGTTCCTAAAATTCTTTACATATCTGAAAATGATGCACAATTTCTAATTATTGTGTCTAGAATTTTAGTTTCTTAGAAGTATATCAGGAAAAGAATGCAAATTCTAAAGACCAAATTTTTCATGAAGGAAGCAATTCAGACTTATGCCGTTCCCATGTATGTCAACGGCTGGTGTTTTGGAAATAACTCACTAGGCCCTTCTTCTGAGATGCCTCTGGGTGCACTTGAATAGTGAGTTTTGGATTAGTCATCAAGCACATTAACCCAGGGACTCTTATCTACTCTAATGGATTTTGTAGTCTATGTTCTTCTATTTTCTAAGAATAAATGTAGAGTTTAAACCAATGAAAGTGATCATTTTGTAATGTGGTAGGACTTAGCAGAAATAAAACAAAAGGATTGTAATTAAAATAAGGTTTGTCATGGAGGACTTCCTGGAAGAAGTGAACTTTATACAAACCAGTGGTGTAGTATTGGTGTAGGATTGCCGTGTTGACGTGCACTCCGTATTTACCGCGGGGTCACCCACAAGACCCACTTTAGTGGTAGATGAATGAATCAGTCAAGTAGATCACCTGTACGGTGGGATGGCACAGAGGGGACAGTCGCTGTCCTGACCTGACCTGAAGCTCTCCAGACGCTTCGTCCAGTCCAGTCCCTCAGGCCTTGGTCATCTCTTACAGGATGTCTTCTCTCCAGAAAATTTGGGAAGAGTAGCAGTAGGAGGACTCCGAGATTCACCTTTGAGGACAAGTGTTCTCTGATCATTTACTGTAAAAGAAAATGTTTCTTTGGGCCCACTGGCCTGCCAGTTTAGATATGAGAACTGCCCTGTAGCGGGCATTATTGAAATGAACAGATATTAATGGATCACACATGAGAGGAGGCCATTCCCAGCCTTACAACATAGCCTTTTTGGCATCCAGGTACTTCAACTGATGTAGGGAAATGATGGTTTGAGCTCGGGAGATGGAATCTGGAAGTAGATCAAACATGTTTGTATTGAATTATTAAAACACTGTCAATGCTGCTTCCATACCACAATGAAAACATAAACATGAAGTTTTGGTGGGGTTACACCGTTTTCAGCTTGTTAACCTCTAAAACCAAACCAAAACAAAACAAACTAACTGCCATTGAGGCGATGGTGATTCATAGAGACCCTCTAGGACAGGCTAGAACTGCCCCTATGGGTTTTTACAGGAGTAGGAAGCCTCATCTTTCTCCCTCAGAGCCATCAGTGGTTTCGAACTACTGACCTTGTGGTTAGCAGCCCAATGCATAACCGCTACACTACCAGGCTCTTTATGTTTCTCCTCACAGAGTTGCTATGAATTGGAATTGACTCGATGGCAGTCAGCTTGCGTTCCTTTTCCTCTAGATTGTAGAAAACGTCAGAACGATATGCTTACCGTTTACCAGGTTTGTGGAAGGTGGTGTCAGGAATGATGCAAAGATGTAATTCCAACAGCGTTGTGTGGTTGGGAGTCTCTCGAGTCCGCCCCTCCCGCTCGGTTTCCTCCAGACCGCATTTAGCTTTGGCTTCTGCTCATTGCTAGAAGAATTTCAGTCGGACCTGGAGTGCCTTCCTAAAGAAGGTCTGTGGGGCACAGAGGGTTAATCATTTCCCATAAAGCTTCTCTTTCGCTTCCTGGTTTTCCCCCTTTCTGACTTTTATTTCTAATCTAAAAGAGAAGCGAAATCCTGCTTCGTTATTTGCTCGAGTGCAGAAGGAATTGGACTTCAGAAACAAAACTGCCTCACTTGCCCATGCTGTCAAGTTGGAAGAAAAGAGTGCATGGGCATAACTAGGAGCCCTAGTAGTAAAATGGCTATGTGTTGGGCTGAGAGCCTCCTGGTTAGAAGTTTGAAACCACTAGCAAGCAGCTCTGTGGAAGCCAGACTGTATTCCCCCACACAGTTAAAATCTCAGAAACCCACAGGAGGGTCACGATGAGTCAGCATTGAGTCCACGGCCGTGAGTTTGGTTTTGGTTTGGGCTGTGACGAAGGGGGATGCTAGAAAGTACCTTCTGATGCACCGTTAGCTGCAACCAATTTAGAGAATCACTGCTCTCTGCTCTTCTAACAGACTTACCCACATTCTCTTTCTCTCTTCTTCTTTCCTCAGATGTACATCCAGACAACAACACTCACTGTCTCCATGAGTTTAAGTGCTTCAGTGTCTCTGGGCATGCTCTATATGCCCAAGGTTTATATTATAATTTTTCATCCAGAGCAGAACGTTCAGAAACGCAAGAGGAGCTTCAAGGCCGTGGTGACAGCAGCCACCATGCAAAGCAAACTGATCCCCAAAGGAAACGACAGACCAAATGGCGAGGTGCAGAGTGAACTCTGTGAGAGTCTTGAAACCAACAGTAAGTCGCCTGTAGACTTTCCAATGGTCAAGAGCGGGAGCGCTTCCTAACAGATGTACGTTGACTATTCTTCTACTGGACTTGGGGACTGCACTATATTCTTTCAGGGCATGGCGATACCACACACTATGGGCCCCCCCCCTTAAACTAGTGACTGCGTTTGTTAGCACCCAGTGATTTCCTAATGAGCAGCTGTTCCCCAAAGCACAAGCAGACAGAATTTCTTTCACAAAGCAAGACTTGCAGGTCTCTTGTTTGAAGCACTACCGACTTTGATCTTAGAAGTATCTTCCGTCTATTCAGTTAGCTATTAGCTCTTCGGAAGGACTCTATTTTTTGTTAGCTCTACAGTACTTGCTCTTTATAGTCTCAAATACCCAAACCCAAGCCAAGTCCATGTCAACTCATAGCAACCCTATATAGGGTTTCTGAGGCTTTGTAAATCTTTATGGGACTATACAGCTCCATATCTCTCCCATGGAATGGCTACTGGGTTTGAACCTTCTACTTTGTAGTTAGCAGTCCACCAGGGGTCAATAGATCATCAAAAGTGAACTAGTGTTTATTGAATGTGTGACCCAAACTCTCTTACAAGCAAATGATATGTTATTTGGTTCTTCAGGGCAAGGAGAAAACTAGTTCGCTAGCAGGTTTAGTTCAGTCACAGCTAATGCTTGTTTCTCCAGTTGGTCTCTTTCTGTGGCTATCCTTGATTTCCTCCTGGGAGATAGTCTAGTGACCAGAACTCTTCTTTGAAAGCCTTCAGAGACTAGGACCCTTTCCTCAAACACCCCTCCCCTCTCTTTTCCCCCTTTCTTTCTCCTCTATTCCTCTTCTCTGTAACCTAACCCAGCTCACTGACACCCAAGCTGACCCAGTGGAGTTTAATTGACATACAAATATTCGACTCTCAATGTCCACATGTTCTATGAAACAGGACATCGTGTGATTTGGACGTTGTGTGAAAACCATATTATAGCTCATATTTAGGGATCTACGGAGAATACATGGGAAACGTCCAGTTTCGTTCAGCTCCATTTACCCAAGAGCTTTTAGAAGCCCCCTCGAATATGTGTGAATATATTCCACACACACATATCAAAGTATTCCTCCACCACAGCCATGCTTTCTCTTCTTACTGTCTGTAGCCTAGTGGGGGGTGTCATTGGCTGCCTCTGGGTGCACAGTGCTCTCCAACAGCCCTAGGGAGCCTACTTGGAATTGGTTGGAATTGGTAGCCCCGAGGGAGAGAGTATTCTCCAAGGACTAGCCTCAGCCCAGGAGTCTTCCATAAGGCACTGACCTGATATGAGAAACCATGCCATGGCCGCCCCAGTGCTGCAGCTGGATGGAGGCTCCACTCTTTGGCCCTCCTCCTCCATGCCTCCATATATATGATGTCATACTTTGCTTGAAAGAATATCACCTACTTGTATTCAAGTCCACTCTGCTATCTATGAAAAGTAGCAAATAGACTGAAGATGTATATTGAAATTAGCAGAAAACTACGTATAGTAAAAATTCAGCCTAACAGTGTTAACTGCTAGGGATGGGTGAATACGAACATACATATATACATACAAGCATACATACATACTAAGAGCCATACGTTATACAGTAGCTTTTAATCTCTCAGGGAATCCAAGATGAGAATTTGACAATTAATATTAAGACCCAATGCAAAACACTGTCCTGCTCTAAGATTCCCCCAGCAGGCTCTACTCTGCACCCTTGTGTTTTTGACAGTCAATATAAGCAGAGATGTAGAGGTAATTTGATTGGGTTTATTTATTTATTAAGTAAATAAATAAAATTTATTAAATGTATTTATTAAAGCATAGTCTTCACTGGATTCACAAAATTCCCCTTATATGAAGACTGCATTTTCAGATTAACCTTGTCTATTATAATTTCCAGGCCCACAAAAAGATGTCTCAATTCATGAATTCCTATTAGTCTTTTTGGCATTATGCTAAATGATTTCCTTTTAGAATGATTTCCTTCAGATCACTAATGCTGAATGTAATCACTTGCTGAGAAAGAAGCTTTGAAAGAATCCAGCAGCCTTTCCCCCTTTAGTCTCTTTACTATAAACATGAAACCTTGTGCAACTTCAAGAGAAGGAATGAGAAAAGTGGGGTTTGGTAATAGTTATAATCATCTCTGATTGTAGGTGAACAGGTGTTAATAATGGGCCAATTTGGGCTCTTAGTGAGAAGTGTACTCTAACTGCTACCAAAGGCTTCTGAGTATAATGCTTGTTGGTCAGGGACAGAATTTCTGTCTACATGTTTCTATCTTGAAACCATCAGTGAAGGAAATCAAAACTCATGGCAAGATGCCAATAAACCGCTATTAACTAATGATAGAATTTGAACATTGGCGTCTCTCGGTATGACACACCAGAGCCTGTTCTTGTGCCTGTCCTTCAGCAGAACTGCAGATAACATTATAAAATATGATGGCAAATCAGAACAACAAACTAAAGTGAAGCATGGCCGGGCTCATTTGCCAAAAGTAGTGGGGGAAATACACTCAAACCTTTTCCCAACCCTCTTCCCCAAGGAGGAAAAGTCCAAGCACTAATAAAGACTAATTTAATGTGATTACATATCACACATTTTTCTGTCTTCCCACTGTTAATATTCTGAAATGGAAAGTATAAAGCATCAGTACATTTCCTATTCCTATTTCCTCTGGAATAAGAACAAAAACTAACAATATTGAGGATGATATTCTTGCTCAGAGCAGCCCGTGCACAGAGAGGACTGTAGGTCTGGCCCCACTAGGAGACACAACTTCCCTCACTGCCCCATAGCCATACAGGGGACAAGACTGAAGACAGTGCAGGAATTGCGCCTGATCTGACCCCACAACACGGACAGAACAGCAAGGGGAGCAGAGCAACAAAGTCCCCAAGGAATACCAAAAATAGACTCTGGGGCCAGGGTGTGGTACCCCATCAGACTTGACCAGAAAACACTCCTAAAGGTCAACAAACAGACCTTGAACTATTTATAAGCTTCTCTTTTTTTGTCGTTCTTTTTGTCATTGTTGTTTTGTTTTCTTTTGTTGCTTTGTTTTGCTCTG